ACCAGGAACCCAGCCCCTTTGTGCTGTGTCCTGACAACCTCACCCCTGCCTGGGACTCAGGTGATTCTCCCTCTCCCTTTGTCTGAGGAAGGGGAACTCTGGTGTTCCCGGTACCCGTGACCCCAAGGCCCTTCCTGTCTGAGAGCTTTATTAAAATTGGAATTGTGATCCATCTAAATAGGCTTTGTTTTAAATAATATACCTTTAAACCAGCCCCTTTGTGCTGTGTCCTGACAACCTCACCCCTGCCTGGGACTCAGGTGATTCTCCCTCTCCCTTTGTCTGAGGAAGGGGAACTCTGGTGTTCCCGGTACCCGTGACCCCAAGGCCCTTCCTGTCTGAGAGCTTTATTAAAATTGGAATTGTGATCCATCTAAATAGGCTTTGTTTTAAATAATATACCTTTAAACTTAAATTAAAAATGTATGGCCTAAATTCATCATAACCTATTTAAATAACTTATGAATTACATTTAAAAATTAAATAGAACATGTCTCCTGTCAACTTTTAAAGAAATTCTACCAGTTCACTAGTGTAAGTACCTAAAATCAGTGTTTACATCAGCAGTAGCTTCTTCTGCAGGTGAAGAGAGAATGTTTTTATCACTTTGGTTTATTCCGCTAATTTAATTCAATGATTAGTTCATTCACCATTGCAAAGCCGAGAGTTGACGAACCAGAAAAACTTGTTTTCCTCTTTTCTCAGTAAAAAAACTGGTTATGAGAGCGTTCTAACATCTTGAAGAACATGATGACTAGATTCAATCTGTTAAATTCACTATAGATATTTCCTTTATTTAATAAATGAATTTCAGATGCAAAATGTGTTTGGATTCTTTTCTGTTGTGTCCTTCACATGTAAGGTAATTTTATTTCATACAAAAATTAAATGCTGGTTTTGTTTATTTTAAATAGAATTTCTATCCAGACAGAAGTAGCTGCAAATCATGTTTTTTTAAAAAAGTAGCCACCACTTAGCAAATAATAAATGGGGTAAAACCTGTCTCAAGTGTTCCTATTACACACCGTTTTGTAACAGAATGAAAATGTAAAAATTAATCTGATTACATGTAAATTACACAATTATTTAGTTGGTAACTGTACTGAGTGTCTTCTCCTGGTTAGTAAATAGAAGTACCAAATTTGGCATAAAGGTTATATTTAGTTGTAAATCAACATGTTTTAAAGGTCACTTATCAATAAGACTCAACCATCCTTTAGGAAAATATTTTAAAAGTATAATTCAATTGATTAATTGCTCATTTAAACCTAGGTTTTCTGCTTGCCGGTTTAAATCATGATTAAAATTAGAGATTTAAATCAAAGCTATTTAAATCAATCCACCTTCAGAGACTGTTTGGTCTGTCCCTGAAGGAGAAAGCACAGGGCTGCGCTTATGGAATAGGTTCTAGGCTAGTGGGGTTTTGTTGTCTGGTGCCTGTCTTGTTCCGGACAGTAGAGCTGGGGAGTTGAAACAAAAGCTCTCTTAATCCCTTTGAACTCTCTCATTGTATAGTGAGGCTGATTCCTGTCCATGGACACCAAGAGTTGGACAGCTTATGTGTTGGGGTTGGAGACTGAGTGATAAGGCTTCTAATAATAAAATCCCTTTGCAGAGTGAGGAGTTGGACCAGGACTCCAGCACTAGGGGATGTGAACAGCTGCCTGCTTTGGAAGTCTTTAACTGACTTGCTGTGGATGAACCTGCCCTCCCATTGTCCTCACGTGGGGAGTTCCTGACGCTCTCCTAGGAGATGAAAATGCTCCAGGGTTTGGGCTCCCCCTGAAGCGCACACCCCACTCCTCAGGCAGCTGCACAAGAGTGTACACCCCCAGCAAGCTGTGCAAGCTGCATTTGCGCGTGGACCCTCCTTGGACAAAAAAAGGGGGGCAGGCGGAGAACATTTTTTTTGCTTGGGGCAGCCCGGACGAAAAAGGGTGATGGGCCAAAAATTTGTTTGCTTGGGGTGGCAAAAAACCTAGCGCCAGCCCTGTGAGAATATGCAGAATTGCATGTTAAATCAGATGTTCAAAGCTGAATTAAATAAAAATGACCTAATTTTGTAGAGCAGATATGCCCTAAGTAAACAGATATGCCCTAAGTGTCTTCTCAGTAAACAATGCTGAATTGTTAACACACCTGTACAGTCTACTTCTCTCAGAGTGTCCCCATCCCAAAATAAAAAAAAAATGTCATGTGGAGACTGGTGTACAGAACCAGTCAGGAAAGAGGAACAACACTCACTTGTACAAGAATCTAAATCCTTTTTCTCGGGCCTTTATGGGAAACAAAGTATTACAAACAACTTTCCTGCCCTAGGCCTTGAGAACTGCTTTTTCTTTCCCATAAACAAGGCTCCTACTAAAAGTACCTAATGCTTTAAAGTTTAAAAAGATAAAACACATGCCAGTAGACCCAGACTTCTGTCTTTTTGGTTTTGAAGAATATTCTTTGGTAGAAAACTAATGTTAATTCTGGACACACAGTGCTCTGAAGATGTCAAGCCTTAAGTATTAATACATATTCAATCTTAAGGTATGAACAACACTGGGACAACTAGGAAAGAAATCCACTAAGAAGGGGTAAGAGAGAAAGATACTTCTACTTGGGAATGCCAAGAACAAATATGATATGAATCCTATTATTTAATGTACCAAGAAATGTACCTTTTGAACAAGACTGGAAAGGTCTATTTTAAGGACATCATTGACTTTGGCAAGCTGCGTGCTCACACCAGGCAACTAGGATGGGGGGGGGGAAAAAACAACATTGAATAAAAACAGAATATACACTACATGACAATATATTTCAAGGGAGAGGTAAAAACAAATTGGAAGAATATGTGTAGCACAATATTTCTAGTGCTCTCCTTAATCCTTTGTCTGATCAATTTTTTTATTTTAATTCTCAGAAATTATAGTTAGTTGATCATTGTACTGTAGGGTTGTCAGATGGTTTGAGAAAAATACTGAAATCCACCCAACGTGGCCCGTTTATAAACCATGTGGTGAGGCTTTTTGGCCCTAACAGGCTGCCGGCGACCGCTCGCCATCTTGCCTCCCTGCACCACCCAGAAAGCACTAGAGTTGCCAGGCTGCCTCAGTACTGAGCAGGACAGCCTGGGATTTTCACCTCCTGGCTAGAAAAAACCAAAGTACCGGATATTTTAGGTGTCTGGTATTTTCTGACTTTTTTTTACTGGACAGGAGACAAAAATACCAGACTGTCCGGTTCAATACCGGACACCTGGCAACCCTATGTATTGGCCAGAGCAGCACTTTCACATTATTATTTGGCAGATCTGTATCTTCCTTTTTCCATCTGTGTCCTAGATGCAGAAGAGATCATTTTACTACACAGATTATGTCACAGATTGAGCTTGAATCAGAGGAATATTATTGAGCTAATCCAATGAAACCGTGAGACATTGAAAAATATGTTCTTACCCCACTGAAGTTGGCATTAATATTCAGTTGATGTAATGAATTTCTGATCATGTTGCAAGTTGAAGCAGCTTGAGCAGCAGAGCATGCAGAGTCACTGAGTGTGTTGCTCAGGTGTATTTTAACATCTGTCAGGTTAGCATGCAGCCTTTCAGTACCTTCCTGCAAAACCTCCACAGAGACGCTCACATTTTCCAATGCCTCCTTTGTTTCTCTGATTGCTGTCATGATACAAAGTTTTATTTAGAAGTCAGACTAGTTACTCAGCAAGATGCATACATATAACTGCAAAAAACAATTATATTGCACCAGAAGATATATTGCAAATAGAAGTAGGCATATTTTGCTAGCACAGGCCAAGAACAGTCAATCTAGTTTACCAAGATTCCACCCACCCAAAACGTACTCCTTTTATTTGGTTCACCAGTTCTGGTGGATTGCAATACAAATATTA